TCATTGAGGAGGTTAGAGTCTGCAAGAGACGAATCTAGAGAAGAGTACGTGCCGGTTGCAGGATGCAGATAAGTGCTTGAATCGTCATTGTATATACACAAGTCATTATTGGATATAAAATCTTCCAGTATTTTACCTTTAGAGTTAGTGTTTGTACCACCCCAGATCGGGTTATGGCCATTAAGATCACCCATTATAATATAATGTGTCGACTATACCAGAAGATCTATTAGTTTTTAAGTGTGTGATACTATCAAGTATAAAGGGATCCTAGGCCTTCTGCACATACTCAGAGCAGCTGTGCTGTGAACACAAGTGTTCTACGAGGTTCAGATCAGGGCTGAGGGCTGGCCGCGGTAGAAGGACAGATGTTGCGTTGTTGACGATGTTGTGTGCAAATGGAACAGCGAGGGGTCTGATCACTTGGTCGATACAGTACAACCAGAAATTATTGAGAAGTTAAGATTGTATTTTTTTTTTTTTTCACTCATTACTCACATATAAAATGTGAATATTAGCAGAACATAACTCCATATTCAAAGACAGGTGAACAGTTAGTATTTTGTCAAGTCACCATAGGCAGCAATGCAGGCTTCAATGCGGCGGGGCATACTACTGATCAGAGAAGTTAGAAAGTCGTGGTACATGCTGTCCCAATATCGGACCCCCTCCTCTTTCATTTCAGCAATATTTGTCAGATTTTTCTTATTGACACTTTCCTTCATAAGTCCCCAAACATTTTCTATTGGATTTAGGTCAGGGCTATAGCTTGGCCAATCTAATAATGTCATATTTTGGTCCGAAACCAGGCCTGTGAATGCTTTGAACGATGTGTCCTGCTGAAAAATCCAAACATTTCCATAGAACACGTGAGCAGATGGAAGTAAATGTCCCTCGAGAATATCTGTGTACCGCTCACTGTTCATATTCCCTTCAAATACACAGAGGGGCGTTGCCCCTAACACAGATATGCCACCCCACACGTTAAATTTCGGACTGTACTTAGGGCGCTGATACAAAGGTTTTTTAGTTTGTTTGGTCCAGAATTTCAGTGTATTAGGAAAAAGCCACACAGAACTTTCATCTGAGAAAATCACATTGTCCCAGTTAAAATTGCTATGCTGTAAGCACCAGTTCAACCTTCGCTCCTTTTGTTCAGGTTTCATGATCGGTGATGGATTTCCTCGATTTTTCTGCCAAACCCATTGCATGCAGCTCAGTTCTAATTGTCTCCTTACAGACAGCCACAGTTCCTCTATCAATCATATCCAGCCTTAAGTTTTCTAAACTCCTTCGTTTGTTTTTAGAAACAAGAATACCAAGCCGCCTCCTGTCACCGACAGTCAATTTTCTGGGCCTACCTGCGCCTCCCTGGTGCTCAAATGCCATATCCATTTGCAATATTTTTCAAAACACGATAAACAGTGGCCAAAGGGATGCCTGTTCTATTTGAAATCACTTTAGCTGATCTGCTGTCCTTGTTATAATACTATAAAATCAACTTCCTCATCCATACTGATGATCACTGAAAATGTCGCCTGCTAGCAAGTAAACAAAGGGGCATAACTCTTCACAAACTAATGAAAAAGGATTAACGGAGTTGTCTCTCTTGAATGAAACCAAGCACTTGATAGCTGGTCAAGGTTGTTTATACTAGAAATCCAATTAAACATATTCCTAAAAGTATCAACAATTTCTGGTCATACTATATAACCCTGAACAGTGACGCCGTGTCCCTGACCTTGACCAACCTTCTGGAAGCACATGGTTCCAAGTCTCGTATTTAAGTCCAATCCCGGCCCGGATCATGACGCTAGGTCTACCAAGTGCACCCCATTCCAAAACGTTTCTGTTAGCGAAATGATCACCTCGACGAAGCCAAATTCTGACTCTTCCATCTGCATGGGAGACACAAAAATGACTCTCATCAGAGACGATGACACGTCTCCACTCACGATGACGCAAATATTGATGACCCTGTGCCCACTGAAGTCGTGCTTATCGATGCCTTGGTTCTAGAAATATATATGCCAAAAACTGATATCAATTTAAGGTTCCGAGTTTGTGTCCAGTTTGGATTAAAAAAATGTGTTTCTTATGTATATATCAATAAAACCTGAATCAAGAGACTCGCTAATTTGTGCTTGCACATTGTCGGATAGAATATTTTCTAATTTTAGACCACAAAATGTACTTAGCCAAATGTTGTTTTACCATCACCACTATACCACCAGAGAGTCTGCCACGTGTAGAGATCTTTTCTTCTGGTTTGTTAATTATCATAGTCTGAAAACACATGATCAATATTTCCATCAGAAGTGTATGTATCAGTTAGACCCACAATATCAAACTGACTTATAATGTTTACAAAATCAATATCCACTAACTTGCTTGATATACCTGCAATGTTTCAGAAAATAGACTTAATCTCATTTTTAAAGTCAGTTAATTTATCAGTGTTATTGAGATTTGTATGATGCGTCACTCAGCCAAGCTGTTACAGTTACAAAACAACCTCAGTGCAGGTATAACAGATGTTAACATCACAATACATGGCTTAACAAATGTACGGGGTGACCATGCTCGGAATATGATTGACTACTGTTGCAGAACTAAGTGATAAAGTTCGAGACCTGGAAACATCGCGTAAGGAAGCAGTGCACACATGTTGAACTAACTCGCTGAGACAGAGACTTAACGACGACCCTGAACTGAGTGTGTTATCGCAGCTACACAGCTGCTACTCTCCCCACTTCCATGTGGGTTTTCAACAAGTACGACCCTAAACACAGAATTGATTATTACAGCTTTTCCCGCCTGATTGTCACAGCCATAGAGTCAAGCAGGTGTCCTCACTGTGAATCTGATCTGGACAACCTGGGCCTACATCTGTTCCAGTCCTGCAGCGACACCCGGTGCTCTTGTGTCGAGAGAACATGTCGTACTCCGTATTTGACGCCTTTGGACCCGACACATATGTCACGCTGGACACTATGGACCCTGAGAGTCAAACCTTAGTTTTCCGGGCATGAACTTGACATTGATAACTTGCACATAAGTCACTTGCAATCATTGTTTGACATTTTCTTAAAGTCATCAGTCATTAACTCTTCCTTTCACTTCATGAATTCACCTCAGTAATTTTGCGGCCTACTTCATGACTGTGAATTTAGTATACTTTATCATGTCTCGTAATTGTCAAGGAGGAATTAAATGCACTCACTCACTCAAGTATTGTCAGAGCCAGAGACACCAGCCAGTCAGAAGCGTATTACAATTCACTACGGTTGTAACGAGTGAGTGAGTTAAAATGTAAAGTCACATCGGCAATATTTCAGCCATATCGTGACTAAAACTACTTCTAAATTCATAATACATACACATAACATTTAACACCCCGTCAACGAAGGACAGTAAAATTACTAGACTATCACAACACAAGGTAAAACTAGCTAGCACATATCTTTGAAAGAAGAAAACTATTTTCGGACAATACAATGTGAAAATGGGCTATAAATCGCCAGCAACTAAAGGTAGATCACCATACTAGGAACCATGGGGACTTAGTGCCTTTGCTACCTACATGGATCCTAGCTGGAATTACACCATCCCTTCAGCCACTGGTGATTGTAGTCAAGTCAAATCTAGCCATAACTTAAAATTACAAAAATACTACGTTTAAAACATCTGGTAAGTAGTAAAATTTACCTTGAATGTTTTGGGACTTGCGTACCCCCACAGGAGGGCCGGTTATAACGAACTCGGTATAACCGTAGTTCGTCATATGAATGACGTTTAAAATGTGCAGCAAGTCTCAATTACAAAACCATTCGCTGTACTGTAAGTTCGTTATAAGCGTGTTTGTTATAGACATGGGTTACTGCACAAGAACAATAAATGGTGAAACTTAATGAGCCTCTGCCCGTGCGCATCAACGAAGACGCAAAGACACATTGCTGGACAATATGAGGAAACTAGCCTTTCACTTCACTATCAAATAAAGCAAATAATCGAACACTCTTCCGAACTCTGGGAGGAAGTACATTTCCTTCTACTGTTTTAAGAGACCGTACTATAAAGAAACAAAACTCAGATGTATGTGATATTAAACTCAGGCAAACTACAGTACCGACTGAATAAGACTTACAATGTAAATTAACGAAAAGATTCAGATAAATGAATATCAGTATTGTATTTAAAAATTCATAATTCTATGCCCTACATTGCTTATGTAGCTTCATCTGGCAAATATTTCTTTCAGCCTTTACACGTCAGTTACATGTTCGCCCCCTCACTGTGTTAGGCGGAGTTACTGTTACTTGCCACCAATGATAAGGTACACGAGGTGCCACTTATAGATGGTATATGAGTATATATACAGGCGGGACACCCTCCTGCAGTCCGAGTATACCAGGACCATCAACCTGCATACCATTATGCTCACTGTAAGTATAGTAAGGCCCGAGTCTTCAGTTGTTAGAAATAATTGCAAAGGCAAATAGTACTCAAAACCTATCAGTCTGCACCTAAATGTTTTTCCCTTTCTGAGTTTGATTTTCCCTTGTCGGGTAAAAATGTTTGTAAAAATTCTATTTGCCTTTGTGCAATTTATTTTCAATGGAGAAAGTCTTAATATTAATATAGATCTGCGTTTGAAAACGTGTTTGTAGTAAAAATTATTTATGTTATGATCATATCAAACATTTCCTCTTGAGGAAAACGTTGATATTACAAATACCCACTTATATACCCCTCTGTGTTTGAGTTTTACTCCTTGGAAAAGTGCAAGTAAAGCGGACGTCTATTACAATTGATTCTATTTAATGTTTCTCATCGGGATAATGCTGGGAATAGAAATGACTTCTATTAGATGTCCATTGAAGAGGTGTGTTTAATGGAAGATAGTATCTGTAATATTTTGCGGCAATCATTTTGCTTAAAAATAAGATATAACAATTTTCAAGGCGGGGTTGGTAGCCTAGAAGTTAAAGCGTTCGCTCGTCAATTTTCAATTTTGTCAAGAGTTTCGATTTCGTTTTATGGCTGCAAACTTACGTTGTTTTCAGATTGCGTTTCTTCTGCTGTCGCTTGTCTCTGTCGTTACGTCATCATACGTCAACGACTTTAACGAGCCTCTGCTCTTCAAATGTCCAAAAGGGATGTCCATTGCTTCTTGGGAAAGCTATCATGAGAACTCTCCTGAAGACAGACGCCACAGGTTCACCTGTAAGACGACACGAGGACTTGGGAAATGTCAGTGGTCTGGTAAGTGACATCACTGTTAACATAAGTTGGGGAAATGCATACGGGAATGACACGTTGGGAACCATGTTGTTCAGTGTTCACATAGAAATATTCAAGTTGGGTATTGTTGACAGGCGCGGACTTTGTCTGGCCAACGATTTCAAAATTACAAGTATACTGAACCACAAAAGAAATGTCGCACTGATAGGGGTTTCTTAAAGCACTCACTTTAATTCACTGTAATTAACAATCAACAACAATTAACAATCAAAACGGAGTTCAAACTTTACAATATGGTTAACACATTTTCGGGAAACACATTTAGAGTTCACACAAACAAAATCACCACAAATGGTACCATTAAGATACCCCAAAGTCAGTATCGTAAGTGGCCTGTATGGGCATCGATGAAATCGTTGCATCGTCTGTACATGGAATGAATTAGCCGGTCGATGAAGGTCATACGCACTTGGGTCCATACTCTGCAAAATGCCTGATCGAGTCTAGCCGCAGTTGTCGGCCTTGGTTGGAGGCCATTCAGTCTTCTTTGAATCTCGACCAAAAGATGTTCTACTGGACTTAAATTCGGACTTAGTGCAAGATTTTGTAGGGTTTGGATGCCATGCTGTCTTAGGAAGTCCAATGTTGCTCTGGCAGTGTGGGCACGACCGTTGTCTTGCTGGAAGATGTGATTTCTGTAACGTCCAAAATGTGGTACAGCGTGAGGTCTTATGTCTTAATCAATATAGCGAGCAGCTGTCATGTCATTTCCTCATCCTGGACCAAGATTCTGGAACACCACTGTATTAACTAACTGGTTCAGACCAATTGCACCCCACGCTATGATGCTTGTACCACCCCACGAGTCTCTTTCAACAATACACTCATTGGATAACATTTCACCACGCCCTCGCCATACTCTCACCCTGCCATCGACTGTCGAAACACAATATCGACTTTCATGAGATAACAGCACAGTTCTCCATTATCGATAAACACCACCTTGCAAGAACAAAATATTGCACTTGGTTTTGAAAAGTGACGTTTCTTTTGTGGTTCAGTATAGTAACAGCACCGGGATCTTCATCACCTTTGACTTCTGACCTTCATATATCACTGTTTCTCTTGAGTGCTTGCATTTTCTAATCTCTGGAAGCTACTTTATTAATATATACTGAACCACAAAAGAAACGTCGCTTTTCAAAACTAAATGCAAAATTTTGTTCTTACAAAAAGGTGATTTTATTATGATTGTATCGTTTTGTTAACATGTTTTTAAATCTAAATTGACAGTTATCACCAGCAACATTGTGCTTTCTGAAGCAAAAGCATATCGACCAAACGCACTGAAAAAAGAAACGTGGTAAAAGGTTCCGTATGACATTAGTGAACATGAAAATGCACGTGCACATCGTGACAACCCTACCGATGAGAGAGTCCCATACTCGCCTAAAATCAGTTTTGTTTTGACACAATTGCCGTGGCAAGACCTACGAGAGATCAGGAGAATTGTCTTAGGACGATTGCAAGTTGGCCAGACTGCACGGAGGGTAGCCAATCATTTTAATGTTCATGTTAGGACAATCTACTGACTGCGGGAGTGGTATCAGGTCACTAGCAGCATCCAAGACCGTCCAAGCAGTGGGCGACCTTTAGTAACATCACAACGTCAAGACCGACAGATTGTGCGCCACCACCTGCATGCTCACTTCCCTAGAGTGACTGAAAGAGCACGCCAGACCAATTGGAGTCACAACAGACCCATCAGTGCCGATACAGTGCGTCGACGTTTCCGCGGAAGAAACCTCTGCTCTTACAGACCAAATCGTAGTGTTGTCCTCACCGCTCATCACCGCCCAAACCGACTGCTGTGGGCAACTCAGCATCGAAATTGGCGTTATCGACAATGGAGAACTTTGTTTTTCACTCATTCAAGCCGATATTGTGTTTCGACATTCGATGGCAGAGTGAGAGTATGGTGAAGGCGTGGGGAACTGTTTTCCAGTGAGTGTATTGTTGAAAGAGAGGGGTGGTCCAAGCATCAAGGTGTGGGGTGCAATCGGTCTGAACCAGATAGTTGGCACCGTGGTGTTCCAGAATCTCAGTCCAGGATGAAGAAATGACGTGCCAGCCGCTCTATATATTGATTAAGTCATAAGACCCCACGTTGTACCAAATTTTGGACGTCACAGAAATCACATCTTCCAGCAAGCCAACGGTCGTGCCCACACTGCCAGAGTAACATTCAACTTCCTAAGACAGCATGGCATCCAAACCCTACAATAGCCTGCACTCAGTCTTGATTTGAGTCCAATAAAACAATTTTGGGACAAGATTCAAAGAAGACTGAATAACCTCCACCCAAGGCCGACAACTGCTGCTAGACTCGATCAGGCATTTCACAGGGTATGAACCCAAGTGCCTATGGCCTTCATCAACCGGCTAATTTATTCCATGTACAGGCGATGTAACGCTTTCATCTATGCCCGTAGAGGCCACACACAATACTAACTTTGGGGTATCCTAATGGTAGCATTTTTGGTGATTTTGTTTGGGTGACCTCTAGATGTGATTCCCGTTAATGTGTTAACCATAACTGTCAAGTTTGAACTCAACCTCCGTTTTGATTGTTAATTAGAGTGAATTAAAGTGAGTGCTTTAGGAAACCGCTATTGGTGCGACACGTCTTTTGTGGTTCAGTATATATGTTTATTTTAAACCTATTTTGTGTGTCTAGGTCGGGACTATTAACACCTGAAATAACATCCAATTTTAGTTGCCTATTCCTGAAAATGGACTGTAGGCAGAATGAACTGTAGGCACATTGGTACTAAACCCATCCATTGAGAAGAGGGTGAATCTTCTTAGAGGTTTCGGAGAGCTCGTGCCTCTCTGGAAGGATTATTTTCATCAAAATACCGCAGTCCTTACGCGAATTCTGATTAGTTTGTCATATTCTCACACATTCCGTTCATTGAGATGGGGAAGAGTCTTCTTGTAGTTGACGGAAAGGGTCGAGTGGTGACCAGTGTATGAAATCTTTGCAGATGGTATTTGTCTTGTCGGTATATGGCTTGTCCCGGAATAACACGAGTGGGTCACGAAAGCAGACAGAACTGCTGATAAACTCGACAGTAACCGATACATCTTCCAATCTTTCTTTCAGGTTATGTGAACCAGTTTGAGCAACCAGTATCTTTCCAATGCCCCAACAATGGCGTCATTAGCGGTGTGAGCAGCATTCACAGCAACGGTCCCGAAGACCGGCGCTTTGATTTCTACTGCTGCTCCTTGAGATGTAAGTCAAACTCAAACACAAACATAGTCTCACCTAACTGTTCTTATTCTTGTTTCCGTAAAATGTACTTTTTTACACAGTTCATGCCGTCCAACAATACGTTCCCTCGTTATAAATCGGCACATGTGATTATCTCAATGCAAAACACACTTCAAATCACTTCCACTTTTACCAGTGACTATGTCATGTCACTGAGATGTTGACAAGAATGATGCAGGTTTGGATTTAAATTTCAGCTATAAATATCATGTAATCACTGTATTTACATAGGTGGTAATTAGAATAAAACATGTATGATACTTGTGTGGTGTTTACTTACCTGATGTAGATGTCATATATACATATTATATTGACATACGTGTTGTAACTGGTCTGTTTCAGGTGAACAGTTGGTGCAGTGTCAAGGCACTGGCTATGTCAACAATTGGGATGGATACCTCAACTTCTTAGTCCCCGTTGGACGTTTCTTAAAGGGGGTGTCCAGCGTTCACCACAACGTTCACAAGTAAGTGTATTCATCTGCCCGATGCGTTCTGACATATTCAGACATTAAGCAATTTTAACTTCAGTTTTTATAAAAATGCATTACAATGTATTGTTTATGATAACTATTAAAAACTAGTAACAATGTGAAGGGGATGGTGGTAATGCTGATGTTGTTGGCTGTGTGGAAGGTGATAGTGATGGTTGTGGTGGTGGCGGTGGTGGTAGTGAAAGTGATGCTAGTGGTGGTGGTGATGATGCTGGGGTGAAGTTGATGGTGATACTAGTGGCGGTGGTGATGGTGATGGTGATGCTAGTGACGGTGGTAAAGATGATGGTGATGCTGGTGGTGGTGGTGATGGTGATGGCTCTGCTGGTGACGGTGGTGAAGGTGAAGGTGATGATGATGCTAGTGGTGGCAGTGGCGGTGGTGAAGGTGATGCTAGTGGCGGTGGTGAAGGTGATGGTGATGTTAGTCGCGGTGATGAAGGTGATGGTGATGGTGATGCTAATGGCGGTGGTGAAGGTGATGGTGATGCTAGTGACGGTCGTGAAGGTGATGGTGATGGTGATGCTAGTGGCGGTGGTGAAGATGATGGTGATGCTAGTGGCGATGGTAAAGGTGATTGTGATGCTAGTGGCGGTGGTGAAGGTGATGGTGATGCTAGTGACATTGGTGAAGGTGATGGTGATGCTAGTGGCGGTGGTGAAGGTGATGGTGATGCTAGTGACGTTGGTGAAGGTGATGGTGATGGTGATGCTAGTGGCGGTAGTGAAGGTGATGGTGATGCAAATGGCGGTAGTGAAGGTAATGGTGATGCTAGTGAGGGTCGTGAAGGTGATGGTGATGGTGATGCTAGTGGCGGTGGTGAAGGTGATGCTGATGCTAGTGACGGTGGTGAAGGTGATGGTGATGCTAGTGGCGGTGTTGAAGGTGAAGGTGATGGTGATGCTAGTGGTGGTGGTGAAGGTGATGGTGATGCTGATGCTGGTGGCGGTGGTAAAGGTGATGGTGATGCTAGTGGCGGCGGAGAAGGTGATGGTGATGTTAGTGCCGGTGGTGAAGGTAATGGTGATGCTAGTGACGGTGGTGAAGGTGATGGTGATGCTAGTGGCAGCGGTGGTGATGGTGATGGTGATGCTAGTGTCGGTGATGAAGATGATGGTGATGCTAGTGGCGGTGGTGAAGGTGATGTGATGCTAGTGGCGGTGGTGAAGGTGATGGTGATGCAAATGGCGGTAGTGAAGGTAATGGTGATGCTAGTGAGGGTCGTGAAGGTGATGGTGATGGTGATGCTAGTGACGGTGATGAAGGTGATGCTGATGCTGATGCTAGTGACGGTGGTGAAGGTGATGGTGATGCTAGTGGCGGCGGTAGTGAAGGTAATGGTGATGCTAGTGGCGGTGGTGAAGGTGATTGTGATGCTGATGCTGGTGGCGGTGGTAAAGGTGATGGTGATGCTAGTGGCGGCGGAGAAGATGATGGTGATGCTACTAAAGAACATGAATACTATGTTGAAAAATCCTGGTTAGTTGAAATTGACTTTCAAAGTTTTGGACTTACGTACCCTCTCAGGGGGACAATAATTTTACGATACTTCAACCCCCCTTGAGGGTACAGCCACTAACTATCTAAGTTACTAATCAAAACTACCAATCATTAAAACACATCTATCTACAGAACATATTTATCAAAATTCATTAATTTAATCAATTTCTTTTAAAAAAGCAAGAATGAAGATGAACAGTATTAAAAAGATCCTTAATAGTTTTAGCATTGAAATATTTATCCCTTATGAGGGAGAATTCAACACAGTCACGGTAATGCAAGTGACGGTGGTGAAGGTGATGTGATGCTAGTGTCGGTGGTGAAGGTGATGGTGATGCTAGTGGCGGTGGAGAAGGTGATGGTGATGCTAGTGGCGGTGGTGATGGTGATGCTGGTGGCGGTGGTGAAGGTTATGGTGGCGGTGGTGATGGTGATGGTGACGGTGGTGATGGTGATGGTGATGCTGGTGCTGGTGACGATGGTATGTTGGGGATGAAGGTAGTCTGGGCGTTATAAAAAGTGGCTGTTTTCTATTTCAGAGACAGGCGCTGGGCATTTGAAACCTGCTTGATTCGCTGACAAAATCGTCGCAACACTCAATATGCTGTAAAACCAGTCAATAAATGCTGCAGAACGTAGCCCTACTTTTGATGCGTTTGTATAACATTTTAACTACCCTGAACTTCCATGGTCTTTCCCTCTGTCAGTAAAGATCATCAATTATACTGAGTCAAAAAAGAAACTTCACATTCTTTCTTCAGGGCACTATAAAAGAACAAGAGATGGTAAGATGGTTAAATTGTTATTATTTCATTGCTGAGATCTGTGTGACGTACTCGATACACTGGCAGTGCCATAATCAGTACCACGAGGCTACACCGCCGTTCCAAAACATGGGTATACAGAATGTCAAGTCACAAGAATACAAATGCCAAATTTTCTCCCAAGTGCATCCCAAACGTGCTCTATTGGATTAAAAGACCTCGATGGCCAGTCCATGACGTTGATTCCAGCGTTTGAAGGAAATTTCGTGTCAAAATCGCGGTATGCGGCCGAACATTATCATGCTGGAACTGTAGACCTGGGCCATGAGCCGCCATGAAAGGAACGAGTTCAGGGGTGAGCACCTGGTCGCGGTAAGGAGCAGCGGTGAGGTTTCCACGGATGACCAGAAGTCGGGAACGGTTGTTCCCACAGAAAGCACCCCACACCATGCAACTTCCGCCCCCGAATCTGTCGGCTTCCTGTACACAACATTGGGCATACCGTTCACGACGTCGTCTCCAGACTCTATGCCTGCCGTCCGCGAATCTGACGGTTAACCTGGATTCATCGCTAAAGACAACTCGATTCCAGTCTCTCTGGGTTCATCGGAGGTGACGTTGGGCCCACAGCAGACGTTGACGTTGATGAAACGGCGTCAATATTGGCCCACGATATGGACGTCGAGAATGGAGATTGGCAGCCCGCAACCGATTTCGAATGGTCTGTGAGGACAGTCGACCTCTAAACATCTCAGCCCTGGTTCGTGTAGCCGGCAGAAATCTGTCACGTAGGTGACGTAGGACGATTTGACGGTCTTCTGCTCGTGACGTCACACGTGGACGACCGGACCTTGGGCAATCAGAAGTGGTGCCAGTTTGTTGTAGACGACCTCGCAACTCATACATAGTACGACGGCTGCATCCCATTGCTCTTGCGACGTCAATAACTGATCTCCCCGCTTGCAACATGCCAACGGCAAGTTCACGTTGCACATTTGACAATCGTGGCATTTCAAGTACCGTTAGAACTGTGGTTTTAAAGTGTTTTCTCAATTCTTGAGGCCAATGCAAACACGTGCATATGAATAAATCTTCGATGCGAAGATCACGTGATCGACTGCACGTGCAAAACCTGATTTGACACTAACATCATTTGCACGACGAATGGATGGGTTTGAGTGGGTTTTGCTATAGTTACTCTAGAGTCGAAAGATAGGGATCCCATTTCGCAAACTTAGATGTATCATCAGAGAAAAGTATTCATTATTTTTCAAATTACATTTTGTGAAGTTTCTTTTTGACTCAGTATATATTTTGTGTGTTTAATTTAAAATATTAGATAGCAGATAGACAGGGGGCATTTGCCGGGGGCAGTTTTCCGGGGGTTGGGGAGTTTAGCCTAGACCCTGGCGCCTTAGCCAGCTCACCCTCCATGTGCATTTTAATGACAAGGTCCAAAGGGGATTCTTAAAATACATATTTCTTCTTCATTACATTTTTATTGACAAAGAGAAAAAGTCATTTCATTACATTTTTATTGACAAAGCAGAAATGTCAATCCTCTTGAGGCCGGACTGAAAGATTTGGCCACAGAATAGCGCCCGTCAGTATTTACGGGACTAGATCTTACGTTCTTTAGTACTTCCGGTGACGAACGTTTTATGGCAATGGCAAACTGAAGGATTTAGTCATAAAACTGGTGTAATGATTTTTGTTTGTTATTTCAAGCCACACCCAGCAATATTCCAGCTATAGGATGATGACGGTCTGTTAATAATCCATTCATATGCATGATGAGCAATCAACATCATGACAGAATGGCATGCATCAACCAAGTCAGACAGCCTAGTCACACGATTCGAGTAGCAACCTCTTGCAACGAACATAGGTTCTGGTTCTAACCCTGACCTTGGCGAGTCCTTTCTAATCATGTGTAGGAGTGAGTGAGTATGGTTTTACGCCGCTTTTAGCAATATTCCAGCAATATCACGCCAGGGGAAACCACAAACGGGCTTCACATATTGTACCCATGTTGGGAATCGGACCCGGGTCTTCGGCGTGACGAGCAATCGCCAGCAGCTACCCCATCGCTCCCAATCCTGTATAGGAAGTAGGGCTGTGCAATATTACCGGTAAACCGGTACTTACCGGTACAGTATCTCACGATACGATTATCGCGATATGGTTCAGATTAGTTCCCTTTGTATTATCTGAACTTGACTTCCTTGGCAACAATCTGTGCTCTAACAGTGCCAAATGCACTTATATTTCTGTTGGATTCATGTAACATTTTACAAGTGGAAGAATCTTTATACGTGGCTCCAAAAGAGCCAAATATTCTACCAAGTATTGTGGGTTTGAATGGCATCATATGTGACATTTTCAAGGTCACCACGACATTTTGATCACTTTTCAAACTCTTGTTAACACAATATCTCATGAACTGTTGTACCCAATGTCTTCAAATTTGGTAACAGCCTGCATTGGAGGATTACGCAGACACCAATCGATTTGGGTGATTTGGTGACCTTATCTTGACCTGGTGTCATCTTGTATGTGCCCAAACAATGTAAACACATGTTCACAGTTGCATCTTTGGCCGCGCATTACCGATTTGGAGGGGCGAAGGTGTGTGCGTGTATGCGTGTGTAGGTGTGGAGTGGGGGATTGCGGTCACGGTTTGGGCATGGCTATACACCTAATTTTGATAACTTCGGTCAAAAAATCTCATTATATGCCTCGACGCTCACCACCTCCTGGAAAGTAAAAGCCGGGAGAGATTTTGCTCCTCCCAGGCTATACTAAGAAAGTGAGTGAGTGAATTAATATTTAACGTCACATCGGCAATATCTCAGCCATATCGTTACGAAAATGGTTTATACAAGAAAAAGTGAAAACGTTTTGAAGATTAAATCCTGTCGACGATGGACAGTAAAAATACTAGAGAATCACAGACATTAATATACAACTGGCAACCAAAGCTAAAACATTCCAATTAAAGAAGACAATTTAGTATAAAACACGGGCCATAGATCGCCAACAACTGAAGGTAGATCACCATACTAGGGACTATGGGGACTTACATTACTTTTGCTACCTGCATGGACCCTGGCTTGATTTACACTATCCCTTCAGCTGCTGGCGATTGTAGGAAAATTTAGCCGACAGTTAAAAAAACAAAAAATACTACGCTTAAAATGTGGTAAGTTTATATTTTACTTTGAAAGTTTTGGGACTTACGGACCCTCTCAGGAGGACAATAATTTTACAGTACTTTAACCCCCTTTGAGGGTACAGCCACTAACAATCTAAGTTACTAATCTAAACTACCAATCTTTAAATTTATCTATTTACAAAACACATTAATCAGAATTCATCAAATAAATCAAATTTTGTTTTAAAAAAACAAGTACATGAAAATTAACACTTGTATAAAGATCCTTAACAGTAATACTTATCCCTTAAAAATATCTATCCCTTATGATGGATAATTCAACAAAGTCAAGGAGGACATGCTTGATCGTGGTTCTCTTATCACAAGGGATACAAAACGGAGGATCTTCACCTTTTAACAGGTATTTGTGAGCATAACGAGTATGGCAAATGCGACATCGTCGCATAATGACTTCCTCAAATCTGGACTGACAACCCAAGGAGGTGTAACCAATATAGGGTTTATTTCATGTAATTTATTGATACCTACTAGGGTTTCCCACTTCTTTTGCATCAGATCACGGATTAAAGTTCTAATGCTAGCTTTGTAATCAGAGTATGGGATAAGAAGTGGCGTCACATATTTGTTGAGTGCTGCCTTGGCAGCAAGATCGGCCATTGTGTTCCCAGAAATACCAACGTGGCTGGGTAACTAACAAAAGACGATGTCGTATTGGCCACTATCAAGATCATTATACAATTCAATTATTTCAATTAAAAGTGGATGTTTACAAGAGAGATTTTTTATAGCCTGAAGGCAAGAAAGGGAATCTGAAAATGTGATATATTGTATATATTTGGGGTGTCTATTAATAAATTTAAGAGCTGTTAGTATTGCGTTTGCCTCTGCTGTGAAAATAGAGCTGTTATTAGGCAATAGATCAGATATTGTTCTGGATCCAATGACAGTGGCACAAGCTACTGCGTCACCATCCTGTTAATAAGGATTTGTGTGAATTATATTTATTTTTTTAATTGACTAAATTCTTGTTTATACTGTAGCTCATTAGTTTCAGATTTTTAAATGTGATTTATGTTAGGTCAACGTTTGGCCTCACCAATTGCCAAGGAGGAGAAGAAAGAAGACGGGAAGGAGATATATTTTCAAGCTCAAGGCCGGCAGCAGAAATAAATGGTTTAATTCTGAGCCCAAGAGGCGGGACAAGAGAAGACTTCTTGTTGTTCAGATCCTCATAGAGGGATTAAAGACACAGTTATATGCAAGGTTCGACTGACTAGAATATAGTTTAGTGATATATTGTAAAGATAATTTTATACGGCGTTGGCTAAGAGAAGGCTCGTCAGCTTCAACGTAAATACTGTCAATAGGAGAAGTTCTGAAAGATCCAAGACAAAGTCTTAAATCTTGGTGATGAATAGAATCAATATGTTTAAGGCTGCTTTTACAGGCTCCGCCATATATGATGGACCCATAATCAAGTTTTGATTGGATAAGTGATCTGTATAAGTGTAGGAAGGTAGTTTGGTCCCCTCTCCACTTAGAATTGGAAACGACTTTCAACAAGTCAAGTGCTTTCAGGCATTTCGTTTAAAACCTTGGATAAACTGTTGATCTTAATGGTAAATGAGGTATCAGACACAATACTGCCTTGTGGAACAACCTGATCCTGATTATAATGGTCAGACAGGGTTGAACCCAC